TTGCTCAACTGCAAATATTTTAAATGTCAATAGCGCCGACTAAATATGCAGCTCCACTGCTTCTTGTAAGGTTTAACAACTAACAACCCTCACCCTGAGTTTTGTGAGGGTAGATCACATATTGTGATTGACTCTTGAGTCCAGTTGCTCCTGATGGCAAGTACGACTACGACAGATTATGTGACAGAGGGGGGGAGAGAGAGAGATAATGATAGACAATGACAGGCTGCACATTTCTTTTCTCAGTAAGAGTATGATGCTCAAACTTTAAGAAGTAAAATAAAACTTTAAACCTGGAAAATCTGAACGTAGCAGTCAGTGCAGTCACCACAAATAAATCAGTGCATCAGAAAACAGTGAAATGTATTAAAAAACATATTTTCGGTTCATTATGAAACTGTGGTGGGACAATTTAGACCATGGTGAGCCGCCACATTCTAGGTAATTGATGGGAAACATTGAGTAACCCAGGAGCACGCCACAAGCAACTCAGCACTAATATAACACACAGGCTACTCACACACTCAAACAGCCATTCAAGTGTATTATGAATGTTTAAATATGATGAGTCTGAAATAGCATTGGTGAGGAAAGCATGCATGAGACCAAATATACCTCACCTAGGAATAGAGGAAAATCAACACTGGAGCTCAGAAATAACTTCCAAATAACACACAGACTTCACTGCCAGAAATATCTCCCATATTTCTCCCTGCTCCTGTCTTTGTGGATTTGCTTCATTGTCTGCTTCACTGGAGTGCACAGAGACGTCTGTAAGTTTGTTGGTTAAGAGAATGGCTGAGGACGACGTGTGACAGAAGGGTGAGAGCTGGAACTAACGCACGGAGCAACAAACACATGACATCCTTATCTCATGACGGGTCCCTCAGCACCTTCCCCTAACATGACATAACATGAGATCGCTCCACTTCTCATCAGAAAACTAAAAACTCAAAATGGAGGCGGTACGCAATCCAACCCTGGAACAATTAGCTGATTAATCAATTAGTTGATTGACAGGATATCAATGATCAAGCATTTCTCTGGTCAATAATTAAACAGAAATGCAAAGCATTTCCTGGTTTATATGTGAACATTTGCCACTTTGTTTATAACATGGCAAACTAAACATATATAACAAGTTTATACATGTGTAGGTGTATATAGCAAAATATTACTTTGCTTTGAGATAATGTTTTCTTCACGCGTTGGCTGGAAGTTTGTTCTAGGGACTGGACCCAATTCTTGTTGGTTATCGTCACACCACAGATGGTTTTTTGAAGCAGATTATTCGATTTTGAGTTTCTAACTCTCTGAAAATAAAAAAGACAGATTGTGTGTTTTATAATTCATAATATTATAAAGTTCCTGCAGATTTTAATTTTGGCTATAAAGTTAAATATGTGCTACAGTTATATTGGTCCTGACCAGAGAAATAAAGACAGTGCATGATAATCTCATTACAAAGATGGAAATCAGAGGCATTATGAAAACAATCTCCTACAGCGCTAATTAGCTCTCCCTGGTTTTTGTCAATGCTCTCTCTCCCGTCACTTTTCCCATTCCACTGTTCATCTCATTTGATGGTTATCGGATGAGAAAGGTGTAAATTGCCGCTCAAAAGCAGCCTCAGCAGATTGTGCAGCGCTGCCATCACTCCTTCATCTTTCAATCATTTTCCATCCCTCGTTTCTTATCCTCTGCCCTTTCATCTCTGCAGGGAAAACAGGATGTAATCACCAGGAAGGAGAAAGACTCGGGCACACATATAGCAGGTGTAGGTGTGTGTGGTAGTTTTCCCTTATGCATAAACTTAGTAAAATAAATTCAATAACTCTGGGGCCAGACTGAGGCAATCGTAGTGTGTGTGCGCGCGCAAATGCTAATGTCCATGTCCAGCCACCGCAAGCGTTAATGAGGCAGGGCCAGTTCCCCCCCCTCTCTCCTCTCCCTCTCTGGAGAAAAACACACAATCACACTTTAATGGTCCACCAAGATGGTGTGAAAAAGAGAGGAGCAGAAAAAATGGCGAATGGATACCATTGGGAGGCAATGAGAGGAGATGGAGGGTGTGGATGCAGAGAGAACTGTAATAATTGGTCAGTGTGGGCCCGAGGAAGACGAAACCACAGGAGGATAAGTGAACGGTTAGATACAGGAACACGAAGCATGTGAAAATGCAGTGCCCATAGTCGGCTGCAGTCCCAGTGGGAGCCAAAGGAGAATGGGTTTACTGTCCACCACACTTTCCTGTTCTCTAAATTTAGGGCTTCATTTAAGCTTGTGTAATGATATTTTTAAATCATAACGTGCCCTTTATTTAGTATTTTTTCTCATTATTCTAACTAAAGAGAAATGAAAAGGAAAGTGTCATGAGAGGAAAACAAAGCAAGGGAATCGCTGGTGTTGTTTGTCATTGAATTGCTCTCGTAATGAGAATCGAATGGGGGCTGGCACGTTGTTATTATGGTTCTTGGCAGGGGCATCAGTGTTTGTGAGCATGCACTATAATCATGTGCGTACAATCCCATGTGGCCAGTACATGTTAGAGCCTCCCAGTTAGGATGGTTGGCTGTAAGCTAACTGACAAGTGCATAGACACAGACACTGTCACTGCCAGATGTGTAAAGGAGGTAATAGTCAGCGTGGCAGCCCGGCTACCAGCGGCTTAGCGAGCCAGAGCTGGGGAGAAAATGAGGAGCAGCCTCAGGTGGAGTCTGTTTGCCTGAGGGGCCAGCTCAATATCTGCCGTTGTTGTTTATCCGATTCCCCTCTGTCCCCTCGCACGGCTTTGCATTCTACAAACAGTTTAGCTGTTTACCTACTTTACTGGCTTTCCTTGTCCAACCTGCTCCTGTTCACGATGCTTTCCAATTCTCTCCATTTTTCTCTATCTTGTCTCGAAACACTCACTCGCATCTCCCTCCGTCCCGCCACCCCCCCCTCTGCAGCTTCACCACAATTTATTCCCCCTGCAGGTCTCCTCCAACAGAGACCAACAATCACATGTGTGTTTATCCTCTGTGTCTCCTGACAGGATCCAGATACTAGAACCCTGGACACACACAGTCTCAGGGTGGTGAGATACTCAGCATATGATGAAATATAGGTTTTAAACTCCAGGTAATGAGGCTCTTGACGCTAATGTGTTAATTTTGGAAGCTGTTTCTATAGCCCCAAGACAAAAAGCCTGATTCACTGTATTATTCAGATTTTTTGTTAAATCTAATAAATTAATCTAATCCGGTTTGATTAAATCTTGATAAAATCCTGATTAAATTTGAAATACTAAAAGTGAAGATCAAGTATGAGCATTTTAATCTAATTAGTGTTTTGCTGCCAGGCCCATGATTACCTCTGCCAAATAAATAACGATTTCATTGTTGTTAGCAGGATTACTCAAAAACTACTAACCTTTTGGAGTGCAGCTGGATAAATGGGCAGATCCAGGATTTTTTATTCACTTTCTTTAAAATGGTGTGTTTTAATAGTTTAAAGCCTTTTTAGCTCTTTAATGAAATGATCTCATCATAGGCAGAATGATCTGCACACTCAGTCAAATATATATATATATATATATATATATATATATATATACAGTATTGTTGAATAGATGAGTATTTCATTGATTAAATCCACACTATTTTATTTCGCCACACTTGCTTGAATGGGACAAACCCTTAATCTATCAGACCTTTAAGAAACCATCTTATACACTCTGAACGCACACAGACACACTCAGCTCTATAAAAGTCATTGCTCTGGTTTTAGTGTGACCAAATGCGTCTGTGTTCTGTCAGTGGCGATACTGTTGACATTTAATGTTGTGAATAGGAGCGTTGTGTATCTGTTCACGTCGGCTTGCTCCGCACTGATAAAACTGGCCTATGTTTTCATAGCAACACCACATGTTTGTTTTACTGTACAGAGCCTGAAGATGAGCTAAAGGTAGAAGTCACAGCGAACCTCAATTTACTTTATACCCAATAACAAACTTGTTAAATTATTCAGCAGTTTATTTTAAGTGTCTATAGTCCCTCTGCATGTTTTTTTCAGAATAACCTGATTTTCACCTCTGACTTTTGTTCACTGAGAAGAATAAAAGTCACACACAAAGTCACACTATAGTGGAAGGAGCACTCGGCAGCACAATGGTTCATCTCTCGAGGCACTAAGCACTACACAATGTAATTTTAAATCCCTTTTTCTCACTTCCTCCCTCTGTGCTGTTCATCCTGAGGTGAATGTGAAGTGCTGCACAGTAAAACTGTATTTTAGATTAAAGCAGAAGTCCCATTGTAGTTTTTTCACACTGCTCCTTGTATGGAGTAGTTGGCAATGTCTTATGCCTTCATGATTTTGAAGTTAAGGACACACTGCCTCATTAAAAATATATAAGAAATTACATGAATATATTTTACCATATATACTGTGCACTTAAATCATCAAATATTCTCTTTTGACTTTAATGAAACCCACTAATGTTGCTTTATTATCTAGGAAAGAGGAAAGGATTCTCATGTGTGTTAACTAGTTTGCTTGTGTATACGTGTGTACACACACACACACACGTATGTGTCGGAGGGTGTGTTAGGCGAAAGTGTGTAACCCAGTGTTGGAAAACAAGTAGACGTTTGTATTACCTCCCCCTCCCTCAGACCCCTGCCAGCTCATGAAAAATGAATGAAGGCCTGTGTGTGTGTGTGTGTGTGTGTGTGTGTGTGTGTGTGTCCATGTGTCGATCTCAACATAGGCTGATTAGCCAGTCTGTCAGATCTTCTACTCAATGACAGAGACTGCACCCCCCACTGAGAAAACTGTGTGTGTGTGTGTGTGTGTGTGTGTGTGTGTGTGTTATTAAATAAATCTACATCTGCTTGTGTTGTTTTTCTGCTCATGAAGAAGCAGCATTGAAAATGTTCCCTGAAACTTCCTCCTGTAGTTGTTAAGGAAGCATTAACCTTTCCTTCTTCTCTTCTCCGTGTTTCTCCATCTCTTAGAAGTAGAACCTCTCGCAGAGTGGTGGCCAGAGTTACAGAAGAGCACATGACGAGGGCAAACGGCTTCACAGAAGCATCCTGACCGGTAGCCTTGCTCCTGCACCCGACCACGCGCCCTGCAGCTCCAGCGAGCGGGCATCAGAAGGAAGGAAACGTGCGACCGCTCCTCCTGCAGGCATGGTAATGTGCTCTCTTTCAGCAGAGTCGCTGGTGCGAGTGTGTGTGCTTCTTGGGTGCGGCCGTGCACATTGATCCACAGTAATAAGGAAACAGCCTCCAGGCTGTGGGTGTTGAGAGTTCAATCTGATAACCCTGCACTAGACATGACAACTAAGTGTGCAGGTCAAAGAGAGAGACAGAGGTAGATGCCTGATAAGAGCCGGTGCAGACAAGAGTGTATAGCTTTGCAGTGTGGTTTTGGGAGAGTGGACATCAGCTGAGATATATATGTTATCATAGAGGAAATCAAAGAGGTAGAAGACAGAGGAATGAAAGAGATGGAGGCTGTTAAGTGGGGAAAGTGAAGAAAGACATGGAGGGTGATGTTGAAAAGAAGGAGAGTGGAGATTATAAGAGGAAGTGAGGGAGCTATTTAATTGCTTGGTTGCTTGGTTATTCATTTAGTTTGTTAGATGTCTTTCTTATATGGTCACCAAAAATCTAATCTCTATAATATACGTATATTCCTACAGCAGGATAACTACCTCTGCCAAGGAGGTTGTCTTTCGTCTGTTTGTTTGATATTTAGCAGGATTATGCAAAATCTAAATGACTGATTACCACTGAACTTAGTGGAAGGATGTGATAGTGATCAGGCAAGAATCAATTACATTTTTGTGCAGATCCTAATCAGGGGTGGATCCAGGATTACTTTTTTCACTTTTAAATGGGACATTTTTTTACATATTTGTTGATTTCTCAGTAAATAATTCATGGATTTTGATGAAAAAATACTTTGGAGCGGGCTGATCCAAATAAAAGATCTATTGAATTTAAATCTGGTTTCTGTTGGGGACTGTTGGGCCTTGGCAGAGGTATGCACTGTATTGAGTGCCATGCCAAGTTTAACCACTGAGTTTGTTAGATCTCTTTCTTCTTACTTGGTCCACAAACAGTGAATTTGTTCTGTGTAATTGGAGGATAACTAGTAATTAGGTATGAAATTAAACACCTGTTTTCATTTGTTATATGTAAATAAGATGGAAAGATGACAAATTAGTGCAGAAATGACTAAACCTTTCTTCACAAAGCAACACTAGAGTCTTGTTATGTGAGGGAGAAGATACAGGAGAAAGAACAAGTGCTGTTCTGGAAGAAGAGGAGAAGATGGCTCCAAAGATCAAAGAGAGCAGTGAAGGATAAGAAGTGGGGGCAGATAAGACCATTATAACATAAATGATGTACAGAAACATGAGGGATGAAAAGAGGAAAGGATATGGAAAGCAAAAAGGAGAAGCAGAGAGTGGAAAAAAGAGAGAACGGAGGTGAAAAGCTGAGAGAGAGGAAGCTAGAAAGGGGGGATGCGAGAAAGGATTGATTAATGGTCTTGGCCTGTGACAGTAGGAGCTTTTCCCCAAGAGATGGGGGAGAAGAGCAGAAGATGAATTATTAAAAACTAGAACAAGAGGAAGAAGGAGGAGGAGGAGGAGAAGAAACGAGCACAAAGAGGAAAGGAGTAGAAGAGTGGTTTGTTTGGGAGGATGGGACAACGCAGGGAGGAGGAGAGGAGGTGGGGGAGGAGCAAAATGAATGACGGAGAGAGATTGAAAGAAAACAAGACGTTGCTGAAGGTGCTGAGGTTGGACATTGCAGAAGAGGGTACATGGTGGAGCTCATAAATAACTGAGGGTAATGAGACGAGTGTGTGTGTGTGTGTGTGTGTGTAGCAGCAGCTAGTCTTCAGTTATGGTGATGCAGCAAATACTGTGGGTGACCTTGGTGAGGGTGTCACAGCGTAAACCGCTTCTTAAATCGACTTTGCTGTGAGCTCTCTGCTTTTAATGAATACACATGTGCACAGTATGACTGCGTCTCAATGCGCATACATCACATCATTAATTTTATACTTTTTTTAGGACACATTGTTTTGTGAGAGTGTGTTCTGTAATCATTTTGTTTTTGTTTTATTATGTTCTGGTAGTTTTCCTCATCCAGACGCACCTAAACTCAATAATTCAATATCCAGAAACAATATGCAATATCGGCTCATTTGTTTTCAGCAGTTTGGTCATAATATTCTGTCGGCAGGGAATAATTCTTTAAAACCACAATGACACATTACTGGAAACATAGAACACAGATAAAAACTTCATAAGACATTTTGTCAGTCTAATCAGACTTTACTGATTAAACAAGTTATCCAACCTAATGTTCACAATGCTAACAACATATTAAGATACTGTGAGTTGTAACTTCACAGCTTCCGAGCTGAAGACAGAAGATCATTCTTTTCTTCTGCAGCTGCCTGCACCGATCGCAGACATCTTCACCAAGCAGACAGCACAATGGGTAGAAGGATTTTACCCCTGGAGAGCAGTTCGAAAGTAATGAGCGCTTACTCCGCAATTAAATCTGGGGTATGAAATGTCATCAAGTGTTCTGCACACTGACAAAAAAACGAAACGAAACTTGAAGGCTCTCAGTCGAGCACAAACCACCTCCAAACCCAACAGCCTTCTTAAAGTCAATCAAGCTGCGACAAATTGCACACACTCAAGAGATCACTTCCCTAAATATGCCTGATTTTTTCCATGAATTATTCTGTGGGACTTTGGTGAAAATGTGAAAAAACACACAACGTTAAAGAAAGAGGGAACACTTCAGTGGGTTCTCTCCTGGCCCGTGTCCCATCCTTCCACCAGGTTTCGTGTTTTAATGTTTGTGCCATCATGCTGACAACCACACAAACCAAACAACACACAAACTGACAAGGGTGAAAATAGAACCTCCGTGTGTGAATGTCATTCCTGCTGATACAAGACAGGCTTGGAATTTCACAGACACTGATGACTTGTCCTATACGTTGTCCTTCATTATAGTTTTTTCCATACATCCCCCCTGTTCTCTTTTGTTTATCAGCTTAGTTGAAAAGTCAAGTTTGGCACGGGCGGCCTGTTTGTTGTTTTGCCGCCAGATTATGCAGCCACAAGGACGCCATTGCTGCTATGTGTTGCTGTCATGTGTGTGACTGAGCGCATGTGGTAATTTAAAAGACAGCGAGAGAGAAACGGAGAGAGGGAGAGAATGCACAATAGAATAGGATAGCGGATTGTGGCAATCCGGCCTGCCAAGCAGAGTGCAGATAAATCACAGGATGAATTTTTAATGAAATCTCCCCAAGGCTGCTGAATGTTACAGAGACGCCACAGGGTTCTTTTTTCCAGCTTTGTTTGTCCCATCACTCCCTGGCCTGTTTTTGATGGTTTTTTAACTTTCTGAATTTTAGTTTCTCTACGCTTCAATAAAGCTGTGTGACTTTTACTCAAACACCACTTCTAAGGTGATTTTGCCTGGTGTTTATCGCTGGTGTGTTTTTTTTAGTAGAGTTTTGCTATGTGGGAGCTGTGGCCTGTTTTGTCAGCGTCGGCACAAACATACCTTTGTCTCTACAGCAGCTGGCTCAAAAAAATATTACAATCCTGTTTCTCTTCATCTTCCTCCTCATATCTCATCTCCTTTGGCCGATTCCTCACTTCTGTCGCCCTTATTTGTTTGCTTTCTCCACATCCTCATCTCTTATTCTCTCTGCACAATGCCCCATATTGCGTGTTTTATCCTCCAAGCACTCAGCATACACTTAAAGCTCCCGTCTCATTAAAAACACAAAGACAAGTGCAATGCTCTGAAATTATAGCGAATAAGTTATTTTGCGAAGGGAAACACATCTCGTGCGAAGGCACAGGTGTAAGGTATCCGTCAATCACAGCTGATATTGTTCCGGCGAGTCTTGTCCTTGGTGTAGAGAGACAGGAAGAGAAAGGAAGCGGCTGAGAGAAACAGGACATCACTGGACTCTGCTGCTTCTGAAGGGAAGTAGCTGCCACTGACAGGGTCTCAGCATGACACCTCCCCTGGTGTTTTACTGCAGAGCATTGAGCAGAGGGTGATGGATGGAAGTAGTGGATCCATGCATGCTGTCTTTGCTTGTATGTGTTTTACGTGTCTATGCCATTCGTACCTGTCGTTTGCAGGTTTTGTTTTGAATCATTTGTTGGGCTTCTGCTCGTGTCGATGTGTGTGCACGTTCGTTTCGTACACAGCGGGTTGTAAATGCTGTGTAATGTGGTTATGTAACATGGACCTGCCAGCTGGTCGGCCTCAGTGGACCGTGAAATGGAATGTAATTGGTAAGTGTGTGGTCTAAAAGCTCTATTCAACAATGGCATAAGAAGGCATACACACACACACACACAGTGCATGGTGGGTGTCAGGGGCTTGCAGACGTGCATGCCTGTTGCTGATTCCTTGGTAAGTGAGAAGAAACTCAGGCAGTGGTGTTTTTTTGTGTCTCCTAAAATGATTCTGTGTATTTTACACTTTTATTCCGAGCTTTGGTGGAATCACTTTCGTTGGAGCAAGATGTAAAATTTTAAGCTCAAACCCGGATGGAACACTTGGAATGTAAAATGTAAGTGGGGGCGGCCAGGTTGTATTCCACACTTGATTATCTAGACTGATATACGCGTAGTGAAAAAACATTTCAATGAGGACGAACAAGTAAAAATAAATCAGAATGATATTAGATTTATTGTGAATAGAGAAATTGACTTAGACTCCAAAGGCTTCCTTTGAATTAGGTGATTTGGATAGAAGGGGATTTTCCGTGGAGCTGAGAACTGAGCATGGTGCTAAAATTAAGGCTGAATCACAGGAGGGAGAGAGAACATTTAAAAATTTGACAGCTTACAGGTGATTGGTTCAAGGTGAGTGTGTTAGGTTGTAATTGGATGAGAGAAAATGGTGAAACGCTAACGGGAACTGTGCTGATCCTGACTTTCACTCACTACTACTACTGCTATAACTAATATAGCAGCTCAATAGAAAGTTGTTTGTGTAATGTGTCAGCCAGTGAGGGAATTTGCAGGATAGTTTTGTGGGATTTTTTTTTTTTTTTGTGGGATATTTTGCAACACAAGCAGTGATGCACTCAGGCAGGTTTTAAACAAACCCCAGAAAAAAACAGATAAGGAGAACAATTCAGCCATTTGATGTGTTTACTTATAGTTTTCCTCTTAAACATAGTGGCTCATTGTGTTCTGTTCATCCAATCCTTCATGTTCCTTGCCTCGGCAGATGTCGTTGTAGCAATGTTATTACATTTCTGCACCATATATTGAATTTGGAGACATATCAGTTTGGATTTTGCCCCTACAAGACATCCAAACTAAATTTTTCTCTTCCAAGGACCAGCGTTAGGTCAACCTGCTGTAATTAGATACAGTGTCATTGTGTGACACCGAGGGTTGTTCCAGGCATCTGGCTCGAGGTCCCTCTGTGACCTGACCATCATTTATGATTTATTCTCTCACTCACAGGCAAACTGTTGGACTGCTGAACATACTGTGCGACTGACCTCCAGATTGTGTGGAGGTCAGGGCGGAGTCAAGGACGGCCAAAGCGTTCTCTAACAGATTGAGTGCGAGTGAGCGTCTAGCTGAGCTACAGCCCTGATGATAATAATCAGGAGAGAACATAAGGTGCTTCAATATAGACCAGTTGCAAAATTAAAACTCTTTAAATCGGTTTTTCCAAAGAAAACTGCGATAACAACTGTTCATAATTCGAGAATGCACCAAATGTTTCTACATACCAGGGTGAATCTTTAAAACCCTGCATCAGTTTCTTTCTAGTAACTTATTTATCACGTCACTCGTCTAAACGTCATATATTGGGCCATACGCTGGCCTAAGGGGTCGATTCCTGTCAGTGAGTCCTCTTTAACCGCTCTGATTTACATGGTGATCAGAGCGGCTGGGCAACAACTCCCTCGTGGTCGAGTAGTAGTGACAAACGTGCACGCAGATACATAGACACTCTGCTCGCTGTGTGGTTTATGGCCGCAGAAGCTCCTATTAGCCACGGCTCATAAAATCTGCGACTGTTGGTCTGTTAAACACTGCTCGGAGAGAGCACACACGTATAAAGATACACACCCATACACACACGTGCATTTAGATAAACATTCAGTGCACACACATTTTTTTTTATACAACGCTTTTTGCTTGAGCTAAAATTTTCTCTGTGAAGAGAAGAAAATCATTGCATCACACTTGCAGACTGTAAATATCCTTCATAGCCCAATAAAGGAGTACTGCAGTGATTTTATGTTCAGTAACGTTGCCCATTATGGAGTAATCTGTCAAGTCAATCTTCGAATTGTTCGACAAACAGTCAGAATCCTGAGAAAACCTTGTATTTATTTATTTATCATTTATCAAAATAAATCTGGTAAAAATAAAGAAAATCTGGTCATATTTTCTACACCATTGGAACTGTATTGATATTTTTTAGTCATGTTTCACATGTTGTCCCTCTTAAAGAGGGAGCTTAATATTTTTGACAGATGCCTCATAACACTAATAAAGATCTATTGGAAACCGCATTTCAAGGTACAGCATAGTATTGATGGCCTGAACAAGTCAAATGAAAGAGTGGAGAAACATACCTCCTCCAAGGCTCAACAGTCCCCTCAGGAAACTGGATTGAATTTATTAGATTTAATAGATTTTTATTTAGTCTCAAAACTAATAAATATCATCCCCCTGAAGATGCTGGAGTTTTTCATAAAGATCCAACAATCCATCAAGAAGAATTATTCTAATTCTAATTCTAAAACATCTTTTCAAGGTACAGTGTATTGACGGCCTGAACATGTAAAATAAAAAATTAATCTACACATGTAATGGTGATCCAAACATGGTGATGTAAAGAAAAACTAAGCTACATTTACTATTTCATTAAATTCCAATAGCTGCATATTCATTCAAGGTATCTTTATATTCATTCCTTGTCACTCCAGGGTGAATGGTTGAGTCCTTGAAGTCTCAGTTTTGGTGCCCCACTCCACATAGTGAGCTACACGAGCTGTGAGGCCGTGGTGATTGTGCAGCGCTTGTCCTCGATTCTGTTGATGGCTTTATCTCACTCACTCCGGTGAAAGAGAATGCCATCAGTTCAATTAGGAATAGGATGAAGTGTGTGTATCTGTGTGTGTGTGTAGGTGGTCCTTGGATTTCAAGTAGATTGATAGAAGCGCCTGAGCTACCCTATCCATACTGCGCCAAAAAGGTCATCTCTCTGCAGTGTGTGTGTGTGTGGCTGCCATGCTTGGTGTGTGTTTCTCTTTGTGAGTGTGTGTAGCGAATAAAAGGAAATGTGGCTTTCAGAGATAAGCAGCCCTACTTTGCAGCTTGTTGAAAGCAGCCTCCTCATGTTGAACCGGGTTGTGCACTTCAGGCCCCCCCAGCATAGCGTGATAACCACTAATGATTAACAATGAACCTCGTCCTTCAGATTCAGGTTAGCAACTGATAATGTAAACAGGCCCTGGTGATCGTAATTGTTTTGATGTAATATCTTTATATTTCTAAAACAAGCTGGAGAAAAGCCATGAAAAGCACATCAGTGATCCAGGCAGTGAAAAAGTAAAAGGATTAAAACTCCAGTAACCGATATTATTTGGTTTGGGTCGTGTTTGGTCACGTTGGCTGGGCTTCTTCATTTTTTACACCGTACACGCCTGTTAATGTAATGCTCTCTAATTCAGTTGTGGCAAGAAAAAGTATGTGAACCCAGATCTGGTCCTAAAATGTGATCTGATCTTTATCTAAGTCACAAGTACGTGAACAAAAGGTGCAGAAGCTATTAACTCATTAATAATTAAAACCGGTTGTGTCATAATGGACACACCCATTAAACGTTCACAATGCTGCTGAAAAAATATATCCTGGATTTAATAACTGGTGGAACCTCCTTCAGAAACAATAACCTCAAACCAGCTTTTCCAGTATCTGTTTTTGCAGGAGGACTTTTTAGGGAACGTTCATCTACTGGACTCATGAACAGAGATGTGAACCGAAATATTCCTTCAAGCCTTTCAAAATAAAATAAGTTTTGCTGTTAACCTCCAATCTTGTTTAATTGACAGGAAAGATATTTTTGGTAATTTTCACAGTCATTGTCAGGAGAGCGTAGGCATGAAGTTCAGGCAAGAATCGAACCCAGAATCGAACCCATGGCCTCAGCATGAAGACTCACGTCTCTGCTCAGCTTTAATTCATTATGTCATTATGCAAGCTGTTCACACAATACATGTGAAAATAAGTATTTGTTCATAATTTTAATTTAGATTAAAATCTGTGCATGTTTCATACATAAAGGCAGGTCATTTCAATGGGCCTCACTTCTTTTATATGACCACGGATGTAGGTTTACACCATCATCTCTATACAGCCTCTCACTAACCCTGCTCTATCAGTTTGACATTAAAATTCAATTAGACTTAATGGTCAGATATTTAATTGATGCCACAAAAACAACCTCCCACTGAAACACTGTGATGGATGGAAAGATGTTAAAAGGTGTTTCCATATGAATGCGCAAAAGCCCAGGGCCCCATCTGTGCAGTATTAATTGCAGAGTACAAATCACAAAAGCCTCAGTTACACCTGCTCCTCTCCTTCATCGTTTTTTTTCTTGTTCCATTCCAACTTTGAATTCATCCTCCAGTCCCACAACCTTGCTTGTCCTTTTAAAGATTCTGCTTTGTTCCCATCGTCATCCTCAGCTGTCTTCCTGTCCTCCCATCTTCAGGTCACTTCTATTTCATGTTGTTTTACTCTCCTCTGTGATTCCTCCTCTCTGCTGATCTCATCCTTCAATGGTTCTCCTCTTTCCACCTCCTGGAGAGTAGGAAGGAGCAATTGAGAAAGTCTAAAGAGCCAGAATGTCTGATTGATTGAATTAGCACAGGTGGAGGAGAGGATATGAGTGTGGCAGTCAGATGAATTTCTAATAGCTGTGTGTACATGTGTGCACGCAAGCGTGTCAGGGTCAGGGCCATTAAAGGGGAGCTGTCGCAGAATTAAGAATTGATTCTTCCCCCACCTCCTAGAAGAGATACTGTGTGCATGATCACAACGAACACTCCTGCACAAACATGCTCGTGGGAAAGGAAGCGGCAGGCTCAGTGTTTTTGCTTTATGGTTGTGGTGTAAACGTACGTGTGGTGCAAATGTCTTGTTGTTGGGTGTGTGATAGAGTGAACTGTGTCCCCAACAGGGAGGCCGAAGCTTGATTTGATGGATTCAAGCTCAATCTGATTTTTGGAAGTCTATCATCAGTAGTGCCGCTGCTGTAGACATATGTGTGTGTTTGTGTATGTGTGTATTGGTGTTTGTGTACAGGTCGATTGTAATCATATAAACTTAATGTGATTTACAGAAATAACAACTTTGTTATTTCTCATTGTCCTTTCCTTTTCAGAGGTCCTTCCGTTCCTTCAGTAACGATGATCGCCATGTCATGGCAAAACACTCCACCATCTACCCCTCCTCTCAAGAGCTAGAGGCAGTTCAGACGCTGGTGTCCACTGTTGAGTGTGCCCTCAAACATGTCTCCGATTGGCTGGATCAGAGCAGAAGTGACGTCGACAGCCAACCAGCAGACAGCACAGAGGAGGATGACCCTGGCGATGAGCCCAGCGATGAAACAGTGGAATCCAGTAACAGCTGCAGGTAGAGTCGTACTAACACTTGATAGTTTTTCTTTTCCAATCAATAGAATGATTATTTAGTCCCTACTAAATACTGGAAACACGATTTGACACAGAAGGTGACATCCTCTTCTTTTGTCACACAATGGCTGGAGCTGCTTCTCTTTGACGAGGTGTCTGATGTCAGATGCCACTCAGCTGATTTTAGCCAAAACAACCCGCTCAAACAGATTCTCACTTTTGCTAGAGCTGTGCACCGCTTACAAAGACGGCAATTCCACCCTCGCATCAAACTCAGCAGTGATCCCATGTGTGAAAATGACTTGACTGATTCATCGCAGACCAGCAAGAAAAGTGGCAAAATTATGCAAATGCTTAAATAGCTTTTTAGTGCTAACATAGGCTAATAAATAGTTTTATACTCCATAAAGTAAATAGACCAATATTTTTCATATACTCAGACACTGAAGTAAGACAGTTCAGCTCAGTCTCAGGCAGCAGAAGCATGTTTGGCTCTTGAGGAAATTAACTTAACTACTTGACAATGTCTCGGCAGAGTCGCCATGGTCAGCGATCTTCATGAATCTTTTTTATTAAGGGTTCACTACTTCTCATTAAAGCCTTGAATTGCCTTGTCAGATCTTGTTTTGCAAAGCTGGCTCCTTATATTTTCATCTTTAACGGAGCTACTTACCAAACATTAGTACAACAGTAAAATAATGTTGGTCTTAAATGGAATCTTGATATTATGTTGAGCCAATTGAGTTTTTTTATTGGGCATCATGCCTGCAGAGTAATTTGATTAATTAGATGTGTCACAAAATTGTAATTATGATTAATTATGAAGTAGTAGTAATGACAGTGACTTATGTTAAGCCATTATTACATTAACAAGGTCAATTTTCTTTTATTTTCACTAAATCCCTGAGATCCAGGCATATAAATGAATTTAAAACAACATTAAACTGTCTTTGTGCTTATATTTGATGTGAAGGTTACCTATGGTTTCTTTCCCTTTAACAACAGGGAGTCCAGCAGCGGTGGCGTGCTGTGTGGTGTGATGAGGATCGGCCTCGTGGCCAAAGGCCTCCTGGTCAAAGGCGACATGGACCTGGAGCTGGTGCTGATGTGCAGAGACAAACCCTCACAGACATTGCTGGACACTGTCTGTCACAATTTACCCACACAGATCGAGGTTAGAGACACGAACACACACACAAAACAACACACAACAACACACAGACCCAAACATACACACATGCACACATGCAGGCACATAATGCTGCTTCCTGCTCTCTTTTGTTTTCTCTGGTACACTGATGCTGACACACACACACACATTTACATCTTAGCCTCACAGTAACATCACGGTCGGACAAATTATATCCAAAAAGTACTATTTTTATCACTTAATCCTCTCCACTGTCGGAAATAAAGCTATGTGGATAAGCTTCCACATTTTATGAGTGTCTCTGCTTGTTCTTATAGCTCTGTCTGTGTGTGTGTAAGTGTAAAGAGGCGAGTCGTAAGTGTTGGCATAAGTAGGCAGCAATATCTGCAAGTGAGAAGTTGAGAGGTGTTTGTATGAGTCATGTGTGATTAATACTCTTGTCACTACGTCAGTGTCATGTTTCCTCATTAACAAGTCATGGCACAGAAGTGGAGATCCTGACATTCGCTCTCACACACACACAATACAAAACACAAGCGTGCATACACACACCGTACAATTATTTATTTCTAATACACAAGATTAAACTTCTAGTTATTCCCCTCATTCTTTGGCTCGTCCTTAAGGCTCATTTATGCTGCCTTTACAAAAGAAAGGAGCAATGTCTGTTTCAAACAATGTTACCGTCGCTGCCCACATACTTGATTTCTTTACGTTAGCACCGTCACTCTAACATAACAACCAATTTTTGAGCCTTTAACCTAATCTCTGTCTATCCCAAGCTTTAACCCAAATTTAAAACAAGTCTTGTCCCCAAAAATTCATTTTGAGTTCCAGATTTTTGGCCAAAAGGTGAGAACACAACAATTAAAAATAATACAAGTGAATACACATGAATGCACTGATTATCCAATTTGTTTTGTTTGCATTCACACATATTAAAGGTGTATCATGTGTGGACAAGTAAGATTCTGATACTTCTCTTATTTAAGAATGTTATTTTAGCTCAGAATATCAGTAACATCCTGTGGCCAGAAATAGACCTGTTTAGAATTCAACAGTGAAATGGAATATCCAAGGCCGTTTTAATTTCATCCATGTTTTTGACTTAAATAATGTTGAATCAGTGATATCTCAGCAGGAGGCTCAGATATTTATTCCCTTCTTCTTTTCCATCTGTGCCACATTGTGACCGTGACCTCTGATCATCCACTGATGTCTGTTTGACACATGACAGAAGCTGACAGAAGAGAAATACGAAGTCACAAGCTCCTCGCCCGAGGCAGCCATCTTGGTACAAACTACGACAGAACCCAAACTCACGCTGAAGATTACTCTCACCTCACCGGCCATGAGGGAGGATGAGGAAGAAGAGGAGGAGGAGGAGCAGGAAGAGGAGGAGGAGGAGGAGCAGGAAGAGGCAGTGGAGAACGGGGAGGATGGAGAAGAAGAGCAGGAGGAGGTGCAGGAGGAAGTGCAGCAGGAGGAAGAGGAAGAGCAGGAGAAGAACGGGCAAGGTAGGAACTTCCAGACAGGAAAACAAACTGAAGCACACAGACAAAGTCATTTTATATTGCAGATGTATTTTATTGTGTAGTTTAGATGTTTTTATTTTGCTTAACAAGAGGTTTGACCCGTTTAACTCATTCTGAAACAACACGCGACAGCTACAGGACACGCACCAGAGCCGAGCACACACACAGTTACTGTACAGTCTAGTAACAATCTTCTGTCCCCAAGCCTCCCGTCCGTTTTCATGGTTAACAGGAACTGGTTATAATTGGTTGTGGGCGGTAGGACAGGGAAGCAAGGCCAGCAGGTCGGGGAAATCAATAACAGAGCAGTAGCGAGCCGGCCATCCATCCTGTGGCACCCGTCCAACTAGACACTCAGGTCTCCGAGAGAGATGAGAGATAGCACGAAGGTTAGCCGTACATCACGCCACGTGCCACGGCAAGATGGAGAAGACCGCTCGTATTTTCTCTCCTCACATAGAGAAAAGCACACACACTCTCGAGAGGACACACACACAGTCATATTTTGTACCTGACGGATGAAGATACCAGTCACACTAGATGTCTGAGATTTCATCAGGCGTAGCTTGAGGTCCAGGGGGGTGGGGCAGTTTGTATAATAGGGTTATATCTTAAATAGGCAGATTGTAATACTTGTGCACATTAAAGCTGGGCTCAGACTACAGGAATTTCAAGTGGGTTTAACTCTGATTTTGCCTGGGTCGATATCCACGTTCAGCCCAGTGAGAAGTGGCATACGGACAAAACTGGGTCTGGTTATAAATGAGGCCTCAGAGCAGCTGAGTCTGAGCCCAGCTTAACACATTCGACAGGTACAAAAACCAGTGGTGGTGTTCAGTGTCAGCATCTCTTCTTAACACTGACCGATCCTGCCTGGGTCAGAACGCTGTTAACAAAATAGAAGAATATCCTCGAAAGACAAAGTAACATAACAACACAATTCACACTGTGCAGAGTCTCAGTCAGCTGTGGATATCTGAATGTTAGATGATTCAATAACGCCTTCTAATTTAATATTCATCTATATATGAATCGATGGCATAATAGTAATCTGTTTTAATCAGCCAGTGGTTTTATCTATGGCCACAAATTACATTCTGGATTTTGTGGTCGCTGATGGGAGGAGGGGGCTGTGACCGTAAATCAGAAGAGACCCAATAGCAAAGGGTTGTTTTTTCGTGTTTTTTTAATGAGACTGAGGGAGAAGACGGCGTCAGTGGCACAGAAGGAGATAATGATTAAAGCAGAGTGCTGACTCAGCGATTGAGGGAACAGTGGGAGGGCAAACGAGAGGAGAACGACTGTAATGATCCACAAGTAGCAGCAGCAGAGTTTTCGCGACGCTGCCTTAACGGCCAAAAGAGTTCAGTGAAAATGTTTGATGGATTTTCTTGCGTTAGTACACGTTTGACATTTCGAACCAATAAGGGAGGGATTTTTTCTCTTTATGGGAGATTGATGTGGAAAATATTTACCTAGTTTGTGTTTTCAAAGAGACGCAGAGGGCTCTTTAGTGTGTTTGAGTTCACTCTCGATAGGCCCCCACGCATAATAAACACTCTATTGAAACCCCATGTAACCACACTCATTCATACACAGCCTCATCTGATTCAGCTCGCCTTGCACATCCCAGGCTTTGTGCCGGGTGAGAGCGCAGGAACTCAAAATAGTCTGGTGTGTCGGGCGACATGAATCAAATGCTTTGACATAAAAGTATACGAATGCTCCTCTTTTACCAACTCTGACTAAACCCTGCCTTGATTCCTCCTGTGTTGCGTTTGCCTCGGACTGGGTCAAACTATCTTAGATTTTTTTTTTTTTCTTGTGTTTTTTCAGTTTTCCTTCAGGAGCACTTGATTCTGTGTTTGCCCAGACAGGGTGTTGAATTGCTTTCTCTGCACCATTTCTTTACGAGCCTGTAAAATCAAGTGCACATTACGGAAAGAAAAAAAAAAAAAAAATCCTATTTTGACTCCTGCCTGGTGCAGCCTGGATCAAAATAAATACAATCCTCTTCAAATACATAAAGGTGAGATTGATTTACCTTGCTGGGCACCTGTGAAAAGACTGGATGTGTCTTTACAACGCCCACACACAGTAAATCAAACACTCCTTAGGTATTTGTTTGGTGTATGTCTGTGGGGGTGCTCTCCATCCCACAAAGTTGCCTCTTCTCTTATGACCCCGGTGGCTCCTTTCACCGATTTGTCAGCGACAGATGGATGTAAATTACTCAATCACCGTTAAGTAGCGTGTGTAACTTTCAACACATTCATGTGTAGTAGACGCAGCGCATCCCGTGTTACTGTGTGTCAACATGTGATGCAGTTAACACATGTGACTCTGATCGTGGTGTTGAAAACGATGCACCGTGTGCGTTTTTTACGAGCATTCATTGCAGATCTGTGAACCGTAGAGGAGAGGAACAACTTTGTGGCATGAAAAGCACCTTGTATGTACCAAAATATCCATGCATGTGTGTGTGTATGTGTGCACTCACAGGCAAAACGGCCCCGTGTTTGCACACCTCCACACGCACACAACTTCAAACACACACGCTCAGACGTGACGTGTGTGTGTTTCACGTTCTCTATACCGGGTTGTTATTGTTTTGTGGCAGTGTTGGGTGCTGCTGCGCACAGAGTGGAGGCTGAGGAGGAGGAGGAGGGGGAGGTGCTGGATAGACACAGATGTCTGTTGGCCCTGGCAGCGCTGCGACACGCCAAGTGGTTCCAGGTCGGCACCCGCTCACTTCCTGTCTTCCCGCCCGATGCTTATTGTAGCCTGACGATTCAGCCAAAGGGAAAACACCATCAGCTGCAGTAACACTGTGGTGCTTCATTAAGCCCACTCACTTTAATCAAGAACAGATGCACATAGTTATTAACATGAATTTGAATGTTTACATTTCTGTAATAATTAAATGCAATACATGATTTGATTAACATTTTATTTTATATCAATTTGACAAGATCTTGTTGGACATCATGAAAATAAAAATTGGAAATATTAAACATCACTTACAACACAAACGTATCATTAGGCTACAAAAGCAATGGTTGATACTTGTTTTTCTTTTTGGCTATTATGTGAACCTGCCTGCTCTGTACAGTACGTCAGTGCTTCCCTTTGATCCCCCCCCCCCCATACCCTTCCCCATCTGTCTCCCCCACTCACTTGTCTTACTAAAGCATTGTACACGTTTAGAGAGAAAACTCAGAAATTATATACAAATATATATATTTTTTAAATAATTCTGAATATTACCTCTGTGGGGATTTTCAGACAGATACAACCACTTCATTATTTTATGATTTCAAAGCAGGCTGTTAATTTTGTGTTTGCACAAATGCCACTTCTGCGCTCAGTCTCTCCCTTCTTCCCTCCTTCTTGCCTCCCTCTGCCTCTCCTGCTCCTCCTCTCTCCATCCCTCCATCTCTCTCTCAGGCTCGAGTGAACGGACTCAAGTCCTGCGTAATTGTTCTCAGGATACTTAGAGACATGTGCAATAGACACCCTGTCTGGGAACCTCTAAAAGGATGGGTGAGAGCTTCACTGTAATTACCTGTGCTGGAGTGTTAATCCAGTGACATGAAAATAAAAAGTTAAGCTTTCTTGAACTTGCGTGTTGTATACTCATCTGTGCTGTGTGTGATCTTGCAGCCCTTAGAGCTCATCTGCGAGAAGGCAATTGCCACCTGCAACAGACCTCTCGGAGCAGGAGAAGCCCTGCGCCGAGTCATGGAGTGTCTGGCTTCAGGCATTCTTCTATCAGGTACGCAGCCCTGATGAGCGCATGAATATACGGCTGTGTTTTCATGCTAATTTTTTGCATTGCTGACGAGCAGGGCAGAGGAACAGGTCACATCTGGGACGATGAGCAGATACAAGGAGAATCTGCCTCTTGCCACATTTTTGCGATATTTCTGTAAGAGAGGAAAAATGTTAACAATGGCCGAGCAGAGAACAGCTGTCTGACGGAGGTGATCATTAAGGGAGCATCTTCATTATAACAGCAAAGGATTTTTGTACAAAATATTCTGCAAAAAGACGAAGTCACGCTCGACAGTACGGTTCATAAAAGCTACATTTTTGCTTCAGGATTCAGGATGTGTGCAGAATCTTTCATCAGCTCATCTGAATGACACATGCATCAATTATAAATTCTGATTCAAATTTACCTTTGTAATTTTAAACTCCATTGAGGCTCATTAAAATGTTATTTTAGAGACGGTATTCTTCTAGGGTTTTTAATAAAGGGAACAGAACAGTGCTCATGAATGTTACATTCTCTCATGTTAAATTTCCAGGTAAGAAAATCTGTCCAGCACTGGATAGAAATTTATAAAGTTCAGGTTTTTTACTCTTTTAATTTGAGTGACTGGTTTGAAAACTCAGAAGTCGATTTTGATATTTCTACTGTTTCTGCCACTGATGATGATGATGATGATGACTTCCTCTGTCACTTGTGTCCTGACAGTGAAGCTAAATGAACCGTTGCTGAGCACCAGTGTCACTTAATTGCACCTGTCCCCCCAGGTGGTCCAGGTTTACACGACCCATGTGAGAAAGAGCCAACGAACACACTTGCCAACATGACAGACCAGCAGGCTGAAGCCATTACCTACAGGGCACAGGTACACACAGACACACACGGGTTAAAGACACTGTTGTAATCACCCAGCTGTACTTGCCCTGAGTGGTCAGTGTGTGGGATTCAGTAAGGAACACGAATGTTAGTCAGAGCCCATCACCAATATCTGCATGCATGCAAACACACACATGCTGGTGTGAGTGAGCATGCGTGTCTCCAGAATCAACTGTGTGGTGCTGCATTCTAATGATTAGTGTGGGAAACTACTGCCACTGTGAACCATAAATCCATCTCTGACACCGAGGACAGAATTTGCATGCACGCACCTTTGTGTGTGCGCGCACTGTCATGACCTTACACACACACACACACACACACACACACACACACACACACACACACACACACACACACACACACACACACACACACACACAC